AAGTCAGAATAGGGAAATCTGCGGGGGATTTAAATAAACATGGCCGCCGCTTTTTTTCCGGCTTGGGGAAAAGCCGGAAAAGAGCGTCTAGACTGGCGCGATCCTCCGGAATAAAGCCCTTTTCCGGAGGATCTCTTATTCCTACTTGCAAGAAGGGGCCAGTCTAGACGTAGCCTAGTATAGCATTGATGCAGTCACTCCGTTGCTAGCATTAATTGTGCTACATTAATGCTAGACCAACAGTGAGAGATTTACATAAAATTCTGCATGGACTAGGTCAGACCAGGCAAATGGACTGGAACTCAGGCCAAGTCAATGCTGGCACTTTACAGCGCTCTAGCCTTCTGGCTCAGGGGTTTGAAAAAATACTCCTCTCCCCTCCCCTCGCACAGCAAGTTACAGTGCTGTAAAGCACCAGTGTGAACCGGGCTCCCAGCACCGTTAGCCACTCCCCTCACAGAGGTGGTTTACATAGAGCAGCACTCTGCCATGGCCACACTTTCACTTGAAAGCACTGGTGTGGCAGCAATGCCACAGCTGTGCTTCAAACTGTTAAGTGTAAACAAAATCAACAATTGGGCACTTATCATGATTGAAATGATAGGCAGAAGGGTGCAGCTCTCAAAGCAAGCATAGAGCTAGGACTGCCCCAAACAACAGGGAATGAAATAAATCACTCTAGCTTTAGAGCTTGTTTACTTTAGTGCACTAGAGTAGTATGATTTGTAAAGCTGTGGGCTATACTGTAAATGCCCCAATGTAGATCCTGTTGACATACTCTAAAAGATACCTAGGTTCATGCTAACATAGTCAAACAGGAAATGTTACAAATAATTAAAATGCATTTTTATTTGCTGGTTAAATTATAATCCCTTTTTCTTGACCGATTAATCTGAATTTTAATCAGTATAATTATAGAGAAAAGTAAAAAATACAGCGTACACCTTTATAGTCTTTATACAAAGGCAAGTAATACAAAACCAGAGTGGCTGACAAATATAAGAAATGAAGTTAACTGCATATTCCTGTGAAGTTTATGTAGTCCACAGCTCCTACCATGATAAGCTGTATGTCCATTTCTGGCATTAACACTCTCAGTTGTCTAGGAGGCTTTCCTAAATACATCTAGTAGAAATAATGCACTGACGCATTGATGCTAATTCATAGGCATCATTCTGAAACTTTCTACTATCTGTTTGGGGACTTTTATGGAGCACCATCTCGCACTGAGCATGCTGCTTTCATTCTTTTTGTATTCTCACATCAACATAAGCTTGCATGTGCCCAGTAGACTCAATGGAATAATGGCCTAAACACAAGGCTTGTATCAACACAAAAAGCAGCATAGGCACAAAACTGTGATGATGCCTCTTTCTTTATCCTTTAGTTCCACTGTGCTACTAAGAAGTGCATTGGGAGGTGCACAGAGATCAAAGGATTGCAGTGCTTTGCTGTGCATCCTTTTCCTTTCAGAGTCAACTCTTCTCAGTCCAATCTACAGCTTCTTCCAAGATGTCAATACCTCCCTTCCCCAGCTATTTGACTCTGTACAGCTAGGTATGCAGCTGCTGCTCCCATCCAGGACCAGCGTATTTGATGGATGGGCAATCACTCTTTTAGGTTTCACCAATCTGCCTTGCTACCTTACTACTCTTGCTCCTGCACCTACTGCCTGGGTCTTGACATTTTGGTTAATTAGGCTTTACCTAAGGGAGGAAATAGGGTCAACCTGTTTACCAATATATCTAAGTTTTGTCTGACCACTTTTCAATGTCATTGGCATTTACAGTGAAGCCCTCTCCTCATCCCACAAAGAGCAACCATTAGCTTTCTGGATGTTCTCATTTCTTCAAGAACAGAATGGAGCTGGTCAAAGACAACTTTCAGAATGGGATTCAGAATGTCACTCAGTTCACATGGTATTTTTGAGCGACTGTGTGATATACACTCAGCCTGAGTTCAAACTCATTTACAGCACAGAGAGAGAGGGGTATGGGGGAAAGGGGATTGATGAAGGAGGAGTATGTAGATCAAATTATACAATGTTCAGAAAATAAGCCCCACCAACTGAGGTAATTGAACACTATTTCATACTGTAAGTTCTTCCAAGTTTTGGGAACACCCATGTGGCACTTTTAATTAATCTCTTGCTTTAGAAAAGACTTTAGCAGCGTTCTTGCTATTCACTGAGCCTAAGATAGCAATTAAAAAAAAAGTTTGTTTGGCAGATGAGATTTCCCAGGTTCTCTGGGTTCTGCAGTAACAAAGACGGACTCCTCAGCAAGACTCTTCAAACTCTTTAGCCACATAACCAAGAAGATTAAATGTATGTTTCTTCCAGAGTTTTGTCATTAGTAGTTGAAGCATGCACAGATAGCCTAGTTCATTATAGTTAGTCAAAAATGTATTATTTCCATCAGGGTAGGAGCCTGTAGCAGCGAATGGGGTTGGGCAAGCTGAAAGTCCTTTCACTCGGTCGGATGACAAATGATTCTTTCCTTCATTTCTAGGGCTGCATTCTTCTTTTCTTTTTTACTTTCAGCCATGCTTTTTCATCCTTTTAGTGAGTGGGCAACAGAAATGCAGAGTTGAAAGTCAAATTTAGAAGGATCTCCATCCTCCATGCTTTTAGGCACACTAGGCAACAATTTGTCTCAGTACTGTTAGTTCACACAGAAGCATTAGCAGCAAATACCATTATTTCTGTCCACTGCAGCTTGTTTGTATATAAACTCCCAATGTTGTCATGCATGTCCTATGGGCTTGAGAAACTTCAGAACATGTTGAAAGTCCATAAATGACAGCATCCAGTATAAAAAAGATCAATATATTACTGTTGATTTTTTTTACAAAAATTAAAAAAGTTAAAATATGTCACACTATTTACATACTTTAAGCTTCATGCTTAGAGATCACTGAAAAAAAACAGACAGACATTTTATTCACAAACACACTCATTCATCGCAAAGTAGTTAATTATTGTTAATACAGTAAGAATTAGCCCTAAATGCTTCAGCATAGAATTAAATACAGTTCCCCTTAAAGGCCCTGCCCACATTTTAACTGAGTTTGTAACCAGCTAGTGATGTGGTCAGCTCTTAAGTTTATATCCCCACATCACATGGTTAAAATCTGGTTAATAACTGCAGCATTGCCAGACTGTTAGTCTGGGACTTGCTTCTCTGTCTGTAACGGATTTACAGTACTGTCCTTTGGCGGTACAGAGAAAATGCCTTAACCATACCCCACATAATTAGTTTGGGCAGTCCTGCTCCATAGCTCTCTGGGCACTATCCCAGGATGCACTATCTTGTGTGCTCCTGATGTTCTTCCCTGGGTGCATCTACGCTGCAGGGCTTAACTCGAAATAAGCTATGCAAACTGAGCTACATCAGTTGTATGTCTTACTTCAAAATAGGGGGTGTCTATACAGCACTTATTTAAAAATAGAGCACTCTTCCTCCAACTTCCCTTATTCCTTGTACAAGGAGGGTTACAGGAGTCGGAGTAAGAAGTCCTCTAGCTTGACATTATTTCGATATAGCCCCGGTTATTTCAAAATAGTGTGGTAGTGTAGACATACCCTGTCTGTATGCATTAGGGTGCTTTATCTCCACTACTGAGGCACTATGAAATAGCTGTCCAGATTTTCCTAGAATGCCCTATACACACTTTCAGGTATGGACACACAAATCGGAAAGCAGAAATACTCTTGGGTGAGGGGTTTGGCAGTACCACCTGGCTTCAAGTTGCAATAACAAGTACATTGCTTCTGCTTTCAGCACCATCACTATATAAAAATTGTTCCAGCACCCCTGTCCGGTATGAAGCCAATTGATTTGTAACTTGGTTAAAGAGCCTAAAAATTCGACCTGGTTTCAGAATCATGGCTAAAAGCTTAAGTATGGGCAGGGCCTAACAGAGAACTGTAAAGCTAGAATGGAAATTAAGTTAAACCCAGATTTCTTGAGTCAAGCACCTTCACTAATAAAGTGGCAAGGAACATTCAGCAAAGAAGCTTTCACTGTTCCCAATTCATTAAAGCTACCCCTGATGGTAAGTTCACAAGCACAGTGGCATCCTTGAAAACTGTGGCATCTTTGCTGTCATAAAAAGCCACTAAAAAGCTATATTCTCAAGTAATTTGTGGTTACTGAGGATGACATCAAGAGAATTTGGAAAAATAATTTTAATACATTTATTTGAATCTTATTGGTGAGGAAGCTTTCAGCATAATTCCTATTCTGCACTACCTTGGGTTAGAGTGAGGCACATTTATTCCAAAAATTTGGGCTTAACTTAGTTTTCATTTGTGCAGAACAACTGAAACATTTAATTTTTAACATTTTATTATATTTACAAAATGGATTATGTATGCATCCTATAAACGTAACCTTCCACTCTCTGGGCCAGTTTAGCTGTTTGGTGGTACAAATATTTGTCTGTGTAATTTAGGCCACTTGGATGCATAAACATCTAAGTGTGCCCATAAATCTGGTACAAAGAGATATAACTTGCCCTAACCTGCAAACTGAGTAGCTTTTTTTCACATAAATGTTTCCATTAACCTAAATGCAAGCTACCCATATTAATCAAGTTACTAAACTGATTAAGTAACGATGAACATGACTGGATCCCTAAAATGCAAGCGTAAAAATGGAGCCCTGGGGAAGCCAAGTCTGAAGTCAAAAAACAACTTTAGCACTCTATGGACAAGATTTATGAGGAAGGTATTCAACAACTGCAAGCTATGGAATTTTATCCACTTCCTCTGTAGCATCTGATTCTACTATTGTAAGAGACAGACTACAGCGGTTCTGCTCTGATGCAGTATGGCAATTTCTACATAAGGTACGTTCTCCATTGCAGTTTACGCGAAGTTCTGAAACACAAATAAAAAAGAAAACTGCAACTGAATTCAAACCACTGACAAAGCAGGGAACTTCACTCTACCTTGTGCCAACATCCCGGTACAGGCAGTCCATCTGGTCCCTGAAAAAAATCAATTCACAGGTATCATTTCTGTTGGAAGTTACCTAAGTGTCATGCTGAAAAAAATTCAGGCCATGATGCAGGATTCAACAGCACAATTGATAATGAAGGATTCTAATTACCATGCAAAAACGTATATTGTATATAAATAAAAATACATAGGCAAGAGAAACAGTGTATTAGGAGTAATAAAAAACTGGACTCATAATGAATTAATTTCACAACCTGATTTAAAAGGCTGTGGTTTACACAAGTACAGATGGAGGGAATTTTGCAGGAGCACAGCTTTTGGTGGTTTGCTTGTTTTAGGGCAGCAGTTCCCAGCTACCAGGCCACGGACTTCTGGCTGCTGGACCGTGGCAACTCTGGGGGTTGGGGTTGGGGTACACAGCCCAGTGCCTCCTCTCCTGCCACAGCTATTGGGAGAGGCATGTCCTGCCCCATCTCTCTCAACCAGCCAGAGCCGGGGAGGGGGCGGACTCTCCTCTTGGACATGGAAGAGCACTTTGCTGCGCATTGGGAGGGCCATGTGGAACCCAGCACGGCAGCCTTAGAGCAGCCATGATCCCGGCAGCGGCACTCAGCTGGCAGCTGGGAGACAGTGCAGAGCTAGGTGAGGGGGGTGGGGCAGGCACTGGGGGCTCCAAGGGCAGGGCTAGTCCTGGAGGGTCTGGGGGTGGGGCTGGCTCTAAGAGGTGGGTGGCTGACACTGGGGGGCACTGGGGCATCCAGGGTGGGGAGCTGGCATTGGGGAGCTCTGGGGGTGGGAGGTTGACACTTAGGGGGTTGTGTGAAGGGGACTCGGCGGCCAGTGGCTGGCACTGGGGGATAGTGGAGGGCTCTAGTGGTTAGGGCTGGCCCTGAAGGACTCTGGGGGCTGAAGCTTTCGGCAGACAGGTAACATGTTATTTGCATATTCATTATCTGCATAATGAATGGGTTTGCTGGTCCCCAGTTTAAAAAAGGATGGGAACCACTGTTTTAGGCTTTATTTTTTTTAATAACATCTCAATTTGTTTTAGTCTGATCCTACAACACTTAATCCCCTTTGAGAAGTCTTGCGTTGGTCCACTGATTTCAGTGAGATTTCCAATCCCCCACGGGGCTGGAGCACACTAAATCTAATAGCCTGCCCCCCATCCTGGCACTTTTGGGTGAGAGGAATCGGGGAGTGTCTTTCTCCTCAGTCAGGAGCCATGTCAGGTTTGGGGGGGAGGGGGGATTGGGGTTTTTTTGGTTTGGGGTTTTTTGTTGTGTTTGTTTTTAGCTTCTCGTTTGTGTGCAGGCCCCAACTGGGTGTACGGCATCCTCAGTGCCTGCACTACCCGAAGAGTGCAGTATAGACATAGCCTTAGATTGTAAACTCTCTGGGGCAGGGTCCATCATTTTATTCTGTTTTTGTCTACCACTTAACACACCAGAGTAGGGATATAAAATCCTGTGTAATTGGCTAATCCGTTAAACATTGTTTAACTCGTTAAAAGGGATATGAGTCGGGGGGGGGGGGGGACCCACCAATCGGGCGGGGGCCCCCC